TTAAAATTAAATTATTTTCTAAATTATCTTTTCATTTTTGACACAAAAATTTAAAAATTTCCCTAAACTGTTAACTTTAGGTATAGTGAATGCTTAATTAACTCAAATTAAAGTACGAGCCCTGTCCTGATTCAATAAAGTTGGCCCAATCACTCAAAATATAATTTTTGTATCTTGTATCAGTTATTTTTAAAAACATTAATTAGATATATCAATTTTTGTGAGAAAATCGCTTTTAAAATTCCGATATCGGTTAGATATCCGAAAAATATGAAATGAAATTCCCAGAAAATTCCCAAACAAATACCAATATTACCTCTACGAAATAATGAAAATTATTTCTGAACCTCCTGTGCCCGGAAAAAAATTGGTTTTCAATTGTTTCTTTTGTAGAACACAGGTCATTGAAATCAATACGACTTTTATATAAAACTGGTTATATCCTGTGAAACAACCTGTGATATTGTTAAAATGGTAAAAACGAGGCTTTTTCAAATATAAAAAATAAAATACATGGTGATCCATTTAAAAAACATTGTTCCTCACTGAAGGTATTGAACACCCTGTATATTCGAAAATAATTATAAAATATGTAGTTTAACGCTGCCTAGGCTGCCCATATTTTAATATATCTCGAATAGTAATGAGGATATTGTGATTTTTTTACACTAATGGTTCATCATGTATATTATATTATTAGGTTATTTTTAAATGTTTATATCAAGAAAAATATTTAGAAAGCAACTAGACTGGCACCCATGCCGGAAACCGGCGTTTGTGCATTTCAAGAATGTTGCATGTGCGTTACACGCGGTCATAGCCTTGCAGTTTGGAACAAAAAAATGCGTTTCTTAATGAATTATAGAAAGAGTGCATCGAAACTTAGATAAAAAGTTTGTAATTCTGTTATATTTTAAATGAGTTCTTGAACCCTAAGATAGTTTGAAAATAAAGTAAAATTGAACATACAGGGTGGCCAAACGAAAACGTACTAGATCAGGAACTGTAGCAACATTTTAGACAAATTGTCCGACCAATCAATGTTGTATAAAAGGGGGACATCCATAGAAAAAATAACGAGAGATTTTTAAAATACAAGACACTGTCAACATGTATTAGAGAGCGCTATCATCGCAATAGTATGAAAGCGATGTTGCCAGTTTACAATAATTTTCAAGAGATAAAAGTTATTTTAAAAGTATGAGTCACATTTTATATTGTTTAGTCAAGCTCCATACCCACCATGGTTTAAGAACCTCCGTAAAAAATTAAAAACGCGATGTGACGGACTATTGGCATGGCGGAATACATAAAAATAATAAAAGCTAATTTTTTAAATAATATGCAATTCTTCCTCCATGATATATTATGTAAATTCCATAGATAGTAAGTTATTTTTAGGTTAGAAGATAAAAAATTTAATTCAATATTAGGTGACTATGTTTATCTTTATTTTCTTGGCCTAAACGAAATATAATTTCATACTGTATAGGATTTTCAATAATTTTGTAATATTTGTTACAAAAATTGTATGACCCGTGGACAATTAATTAATTAAATTAGTATTATTCCAACATTCATCAAGCTGGTTATTCAAATAAATTAATTAATTTTTCTTCCATTATTAAAATTCTCTAGAACTGGTTTAATAATTTAAATTTAACTTTTGATGGTAATACTGGCTATATCTGTGAATATTATTTTTTGTTAGTATTTTAGTATGATTACCTCAAAATGTAAATGGCTAATTGTAAATTATGTACCAACTCCATTAAATAATAGTGCATTCAGTTCAAATATAACAGTCTGATTTTTAAATATGTTGAGGATGAATCCCAAACGGCAACAAAAACCAAGAAATTATTTGTAATGTAAACTAGTAGGCATTAGTTACGAAAAATTTGAGCAAACGGAGAAAATTGTTTGGCAACAAATAAATGAGTAGAGTTAAACATTTAAGTCCTAAAGAGAAAAAACTTTATTTTATTAATAAAAAAGAAAAAAAAAATAAGATCGAGTACCTACTTATTATGTGTGTAATAACTGTAAAAAAATTTAACATTTATTTTTGGGTGTTTTATTACTTAAAAACGAATATTTATGTTAAAATATAATATATTAATGTAAATATTAGTTTTTTGAGAGCAATGAATGCCAAAAAATGTAAATAAATTAATAATTGCCCAAAAAAATCATATTATCACTACTAAAATAAAACAACTTTAGTCATAATTGACCCACAATATCATATGATAAACAAATTTATACCATAAAAATTTAATAGGCAAGTGTGAAAAAAATCACAAGTAATTTTTCAAATTGCATTGTCCTTGAAATTAAGAATATCTCATCTGGGTATATTTACTTTTCAGCTAATCCAAATAGGAATACATAATTATTTTAAGTAGAGAACCATTATACAGTGAGCACCATAAGTCTTACCCCCCCCCCTTATCTAACTCGTTAATAGAGTCTTGTTAAGAAAATCGCCGAGACACGTCGATTTTTGATTTCTACAATGTACATTTTTGTATAAATAGTTTACCCTTAATTTCATCCCTTACTAGAGGGGAGCAACCCTTTCGAAAAATTTAAATGGCATGGGGTGGTGAGTGATAGCTCATTAGAAAGAGGGTTTTATTCTCTATTCAACCGTGTAAAAAAATTTGAAATTTGCTTCATTAATTCTCGACTAATTGTTGTTTCAGAATAACGGAAATTAACGTAGCGCACTCATCCTTAGAATTAAAATTCGGCCCTGCATGATTTCGGACGTGAAGTAAGACTTTTTGCCATTAGAAGGTCACTGTTAGTCTAGTTGCTTTCCTATTTTGTGAGGTTTTGTTATTTTTAAACATTAATAAATCAACACGTAATGAAGCAAATTTCAAAATTTTTTGCACGGTTGAATAGAGAATAAAACCCCCTTTCAAATGAGCTATCACTCACCACCGCATGCCATTTAAATTTTTCGAAAGGGTTGCTACCCTCCAGTAAGGGATGAAATTAAGGGTAAACTAATCATGCAAAAATGTACATTGTAGAAATCAAAAATCGACCTGTCTCGGCGATTTTCCTAACAAGACCCCAGTAACGAGTTAGTTAGGGGGGGTAAGACTTATGATGCTCACTGTATAGTACAGTCAATAAACAATTAAACATTAACTAGAAAGAAATTAAAATATTTTTCATCACAGTAAGTTATGCACAAATAAATATTTCCCTATTTGGCTAGAAGCAAATTTTAATACTGTTATTTTATTATTTTATTAAAATAATAAATATTTCATTAAAAACAAAAAGAAATATATATTATGCACTACTGTGGGTATTCAATTTAAATGTTATTTACTATAGTTTCTGGGATCCTCCTGTAAAAATACTATTAGGACCATTCAATAAAAGAAGAGCTATGTTAAAAATGATAACAATAATTTATTTGTTTATAAACATTTATCAAAGTACTATTAATTATTACACATGTTATTGTAGCTACCATAGAATAAATAAATATAAAATTGGTAAACTTAAGAATGTAAATTCACACAGAATATCTTATTTTTTAATAAATAAAATTATTTTATATTTTACTCTAATTTACAAAATAGGTATATTGTATTTAAATAGGACAAAGTGAATGAAATATGGTTTATGAGTTATTTTAAAACTATGTTATGAACATTAGCCAGGATGTAAATATTCAATTAATTCTTTTTATCAACCAAAAGAAATGAAATTATTAAATAGACCTTTAAAGTGACTAATTATCAAATAAATAAAATGTTATCTTCATAATTAAGTTTTCTTCTTTTAAAGTTTAATTTTAAGTTACAGTCATAACTGAATCAAGCATGAACTAAGTGTATACCCTTGATGTTTCTTGAAAATACTTTTCCAACCATTAATCTTTCGTGAATTAAAAAAAGAGATCAAATTTTACCTACACAAACAAATGTTTCCTATAACTAAAAATAGACTTTAAAAGCTATGCATTACAAAACCCTTGCCTATTCATTTGAATTAAATCACATATCTGCCTTAATGATTTAAAAAACTGTTTTGTTTGGGTTGAAATTGGTAGATTCTGTAGTCAGTCACACAACATTCACTAAATATTCAGTTCATTAACTTGAATCCTTATTTGATAAATAATTATTCATAAAAAAGATAACTGTCCAGTTTTTGAATTTGCACTAATAAGTAACACTTAATCACTGGACATGAAACAATGATAGAGTAATAGAGTTGTTCCTGCACTTTGTAATAGGTATGCACAAGGTGATCAAAAAATCCAATCCATAATTACATCCTTAGTAAATATTCACTATTTTATCACTATTATAATCACATTTTACAGTAACATCACCATATTTTTATATCACAGGCATTCTTCAAAATTCATTGATTTCATTATAAAAAGAACTGTCATTAAATCTACATGAAATAAGGCTACTGCAAGGACATCGATAATTTCTTTGGCTATTCACTGAAGGTGTACCTAAAATGTAAAAAAGTTTAATAAAAAATCATCTATTTTATTCACTTAAGTACTTACATGACCTCCTTCAAACTTCTTATTTATTTCTACTCACTGAAATATTTGGAAACAGGGAAGAACAAATATGTTTTAATGTATAAAAACAAGTTTGTAAATGAAAAGTTATACCTACCTGTACCCCCTTGTACTTATATCTCAACCATAAAATATTTTTACAAAAATACTAAATAAAAAACAAACGCTGAATGTTAATCACAAAACTATTCCTGGAACACACAAAGGGAACATTTTCACATTAATGCCGAAATGAACAGTTTTTTAGAACAAACAACAGTTATTAGGTACTTTATGTTCATCAGTAGTGACCAATTTGTTGCACCCACAGATGGTTGACTTTTCAAATTATATAACTATGACTCAGTAGTAAAATAAACCCATCGGTGATAAACAGTAATTCAAAGAAAATAATTAAAAATTAGTGACATTATCGAAAAAATCTGACCTGAAGGTTTGGATTGTTCGAGAATTCCTCGTCCATTTTCTGCCATTTTATCTCACACCACTAAAAATAACCAGCGCTGCAAACACGCGTCAAGACATAGTACAAAAACTGACAGTGACAGTTGCAGTTTGTTCGTTGTTCGCGGAGCAAATGGAATATAACAAACGAGCATGCGCTCTAAAAAAACGATGTTGACCTATGACGATAATTTGTTGCTCATATCTAAAAGTAAATAAGGTAAATTACTTTTATGAAAACTGTCGAAAGGAAAAAACAATGACGATTCAAAATTAATTTAATAAAACTGAGAAAAATGATATATAGATAAAATACAAATTAATAACGATAGTATAGAATACACACGAAAATGTTTATTTCTTATTATTAATCACTTGTTTGTCGAAATAAAAAATAATAAGAATTTAACCGATGATAGATTGTAATCATTTTTAAATTTTGAATCATGCAATCAACCTTGAATTTTCAAGGTCGGGGTCGCAAACTGACTCTACGAACAAACCGTGTTAAGACTTTGTTCTTTGATTGGCTCGCGTTGTTTAAAAATGACATTCAATCAGCTGATTAGATGTTGTAAGGAATATTATATAAATCTAAAGTAATATTGAGTAATATTCATAAGCACAAAAACAGTTGAATACAACTTTTCCAATTAGGCATTCCAGCGACCTGTCAAAATGCTGACAAGTGGAACTGACAGTTTAGATATGGCAACCATGTGGACCTATTGTCATCGAACAGGGTCAATGATACATATACAGTTATATAGGTTGCTCAAAGCGGGTCGTTTGCGAGTGGCCATATTGCCTCGCAAGTGCTCTTTAATCAGAATCGGTTTAGCAAAAATGTGTTTACAAACCAATTTTCAGCCTTTGAATATAGTAAAAGAATAATTACCTACATTTTTTCTTTAAAACATAAGCTTTTATGTTTATTTTTAAAAACATGGAAGATCAATCTATATAACTTTCTATTTCATTGACCCTGTCAAATCACCAGGCCTACAGGGTTGCCACAATGTTGCCATATCATAACCTGTCAAAAACCACTGGTAACCATTTTGTTTGGAATGTTAGTTCTGAACTATCCACTTCATTGGTTCTGAAAACATTTTTCATTTATGACCGATTCCACCGTTGTGTTAAACGAAGTTTAAAATTACATTTTTACATTCACAATGTCATTTTAATCTCCGTTTAACACAACGGTGAAATCGGCCCTTAAAAAACAACTCCAGGAAATTGACATATGTAATAGGTGCGATCAATTATTTAGAGGTTTGAAGCGGGACCGAAGTGGAGTTTTATAGCATATTTTGAACAGTAACTTCTTATGCTTGTTGAACTGTCACGTATTTATCATTGATCGGATAAAGGGAATGAAATTCAGCTTGAATAAAGGAACGCATCTGAGAAAGATGGATTGACATCCTCATTGAAAAGAGGCAAGAAAGGTTTTAAAAAAAGGAGAAAAAGAAGAAGAGATTATGATTTGAAGGTTGGTATGGCAGCGGGTGACAAACAAAACAACGTCAAAAATGTTTAAAGCACCACAACATTCATTTTCAGAAAGAACAGACGTTTTTTCCACAAATAACTATACTATGGAAAATTCGTATTGTCTCTGTGGTCAACCATACGACCCAAATATTTTTATGATCCAGTGTGATGCCTGTAAAGATTGGTTTCATAGCATGTAAGTATTCATCAATGTTCCTGTATAAATAGATAATTTTTGGCAAAATTCTAGTTGCTGCAATTTCCCTGAGTACACAGCTATCGAAATAGACAAATATCATTGTCCCAGATGTGTTCCAACGTTTGGTCCATCCATAAGTAAGTATAACTTTTCTACACATTTAATTTTGATGTTAAACAGCTCTTTTTTTCAGGTAAACCTATTTGCAATAGGCACAGGCACGATTACTGGGATGATGACTCTTCAACAAAACCTGTACAGACAGGGACTCCTGTATTTATAAAAGAGTTATGTGCTAGGCACTTTGCTCCAGAAACTGATGTTGTGTTACATATCAGAGGGCAGCAATTAACAGAAACATTTTTAAAAACACATGGGTTTAACAGACCTTTTGTCATAGATAGTAAAGATGGCTTGGATCTGACAATCCCCCCAGAAAATTTTAGTGTCTATGATGTGGAACAGTTTGTGGGGGGTGACATGGAAATAGATGTAATTGATGTTTGTCGTCAAAGTAATATTAAGATGAAACTTAGGGAATATGTAGAATATTTTAATAGTATAAATCGTACCAGAGTGTTCAATGTTGTTAGCCTGGAATTTTCATCTACAGGGTATGTATTGCCTAACATTTCTCATAAATACCAATAACACCTTGACATGAAAAGTATGCAGCTTTAATTTAATAATGTAACTTCATATTTATGTATAAATAAACCTTTATGGATGTACAATTATTGATAGACACACTAATAATCTCAAATATTTTGTAGACTTGCATCATTAATTGAAGCTCCAAGTATAGCACGTGCTTTAGATTGGGCCAACATTGTTTGGCCTCCCAATTATCCTGGAAAACCTCAAGTTCAAAAATACTGTCTCATGAGTGTCAAAGATTCTTACACAGATTTTCATATAGATTTTGGAGGGACAAGTGTTTGGTACCATGTTCTGAGAGGTGAAAAAATATTCTATTTTGTTAAACCAACTCCTGCAAATATGACTTTATATTCCCAGTGGATGACATCAACTAATCAAAGTGAAACATTCTTTGGAGATCAGGTACATTTTCGATATTATTTTGTAACTGTAAGTGTAGTTAATAAATTTAGGTTGCCCCTATTAATTGTCTAATATTATTGATTATTTTTGACTTTAGTATTTAAAGTATAGTATACAAAAGTAGTTAAAATCTTATACATTTTCATATTTTCCAAGGATATACTAGCTTTCTATTCCTGTTTCTCACAAACACCTAAATGTCGCTTAATTCACAATTACATAATGGTGTCCAATTATCTGTGATATATTATTGAATCATTCATTTAATTTTTTAGGTTGACCAATGTGTAAAATGTGTGATAAGGCAAGGTCAGACCATGCTTGTACCAACTGGGTGGATTCATGCTGTATATACTCCAGTGGATTCTTTAGTTTTTGGTGGAAATTTCTTACATAGTCTTAATATTAGTATGCAATTAAGGTATATCACATTTATTAAATCTTCAAACTGTTTGACTTTGTTAAACTACCTAATTCTTTTTTTGTAGTGTATATGAAATAGAGAAGAAAATTAAAACAGAGCATAAGTTCCTCTATCCGAATTTTGAGATGATAAATTGGTTTTCTGCAGCCTATTTACTAGAACAATTAACAGAGATCAACATGCAAGAAAGTAGATGTCCAGACTATTTTTTAGTAGGAATAAAGTCTTTACTACAGGCACTGAAACATTGGAATACTGAAAAAGATGTAAGTAACTAAAATATCTTGAACATGAATAATAGGATTTGTCATCCTAAATTTACACATTTTTTAAGTATAATTTGTCTGTGCGTGAACAGATACCAGTTACAATAAACGTCCCAAAGCTTATAAAAGATATAGGCAAAGAAATTAGACATGCAGAGAGATACATCATCCAATTAAATCCCCCTAAACCAGAGAGGGAGTCGAAACGAAAACGAAAAAAACCTGTAAACAAAGATTTTGTTGATTATTCATTGTTACCCAAAGGCACTTCTCAAGATGTAAGTGTTTTTATTTTATACTTTCAAATTTTTGATGAGTTTTTATTTGTTTTTAGTTTATGCCCCTCAATGAGCTACCCCCGCCCCCAGCAACTCCTATAAAATATTCCCGACAGTCCTCCTTGAAGCTCACATTACCCAAACCTGCAATGTACCCATATGAGAGGTCAGGAACTTCTGCAGATGATCCAGCATTAGTTCCAACAGGCAGACCTTTGGATACACAGCACTGGTTGAATATGCCTTTTGACCGACCACAAGAAACTGTTGCAATTCACCGAGGTGGAACTGTTTTGAAATTTAAATTGGGGTAATATAAATAATCTGATTTTTGTTTTACAGTGTTCTATTTTTTACATTTAATAGGTCAAAGGATATTCTTCCACAAACAATTCCCAATGCACCACCAACAGATTATGTGTTCAGAGATGATTTGGGTGGAAATTCTCAAGATATTTATGATTTTCATGATGATAGTGATAGAGATGAAGACTGCTTTAATTTTACGATAGACGAATCCCCACAGAAGAAACCTAAGAAGGCAGGCGTTAAAGTGCGTGCTGCTGGTAAGTACACATTCATACTTTTTCTAATGACAAGATTTATTTAGTTACCAGGACAGTGATTGAATCACATATTTGCTAAGAATCACTTCAACAATCAATTTTTTTCTTTTTAGCAAAAAAACATAAAATTCTGGGAGGAGATTTAGAAGGATCTAATGGAATTGAATCTCTAATTCAAGCCTCTGCCCTGTCAGTACCGTAAGTACATTATTTTACTTATGTTCAGAATTCATATAATAGAAGTGTAACAGCCTAATTTTGACTTGTTCATCTTTAGATTGACGGTGGATGGAGGTACATCCCCATCGACTCAAGAAGCTATTGCTGGTATGCTCTCTATTAGTCAAAACTGGCCACCAAATAAAACCCAAAGAAAAAAATATGTTCAAAGTCCTATAGAAGAAAATGTTAACAATGTTCATCAAGATGATGATTACAGTAAGAATATAATGTATTATTTATTTTATCTTTGAATTAAACTGTCATATTTCAAATGAAAGTCAGTTAAAGTACAATAAATAATCAAATCATTGAATACTTGCTTGTCACCACATTTCCCACAATCGATTCATAAATACCATTTGTTTAGACACCAACATCAAAAGTCAGATATGGTTGATAATCGATACCACAATATAATTAGTAAGATACAACGTGGCATGAAGTGACTTGAAAACATAGGCATTAACAAAAGACAAACGGATGTTTTTTTGTTGATACCTGCCTCATGATTGCAGGCAACAAAACTAGTTGCTCTTTTGTATCATATTACTAATTATATTGTAATATTAATTATAAGTAGTTTTATTTTTATTGTATATTTAAGAAAAATTGGTAATCTTTCATTCTTGAGAAATAAAATAGTTAATTTAAAATTTTTGTCAGAACAAAATTACAATGATGTATTATTAAATTACTAATAAAAGCGGTAATTTAAATAATTTATAAATAAGTATATGACAAATAATATAATGGCATATGGTACGTTTGGAAAATATGTTTACCTATTTTCATTACTAGTAATGCATTGGATAGGATATAATTCCATTCAAATTTTAACTCCTTTTCACAAAATTAGCTTAGAATGTGACACATTGTTGGCGATTATGGTGGTTACATCTTGCGGATTTCTATATACTGGATGAATCCTAATTGATACTTTTTTTACTGTGTATGGAAGTCATTAAAATTAAAATAAAAAAATCAACGATAGAGATACAAAGTTAAAAAATTTAAATCCGAGCCTGGACTAAATTCGACCCAACCTGTATTAAAAGTTGAGCTGTTTATGTTTTTATCTTTTTTTTTTCGGATTTTTTATGTATGAATCATGATTTACGGTGTACTGGTTATTGTAACTCAGTCGTGTGTCGTCCCATTTTAATAATCTGTTTATCTGAAGTACCTAGTGAATAATTGTTCAGTAGTTATGGAAAATTGAAAAGTGCGTTTAGATGAAAACATTTTAAATGTTATAGTGGGTCATTGTAGATTAGGTGAGATAAGTCAAAGTCAAAAAAAATGTCAGCATTGTGGGAAAATCAATTTCATCTCTTTCACTACAACGTTCAGTTCTGTGAATTGTTCTTGCAAAAGCCTGATTTTGATAAATAATTGTAGGTTTCTTATTTTTTTATTTTTTTTTTCAAAAAGTAATTTGACAAAGTTGTTTATTTTAAATACTTCTATACACAGTTAGAAAAAGTATCAACTTAGGATTCATCCTGTATATGCTAGCCACATATAATAAATTATACTTTAACTATTGATTATTCATCTGTATAAGTTTTAGTAGAATTTTAAAACATCATGAATTAAAAATACTTTTCTCCAGATCAAAGAGTCATGTTTATATAAAAATTTCACTTTATTCATCAGTTTATCCATCTTTAGACAATTCAGATGATGAAGATGTTCATATATTCAAGCCGAGAGGTCGTTCAAAAGTGGACGAGGCTTGGAACCCCAAAGCGCGAGTCGGTCCCCTTCTGCCCAAGATGAATAGGCCCGCGCGAGAAGGTACCAAGAAGCAGTCCGTGGAGAAAGTTCTCGAAGCAGCGGCAGCTAGAAGGCTACATGAAATACCTGAGAAAATTAATAAGGTAGGGGTTATTTACAGGCTTTAGCTTGTGGTCTGCACCCAGGTTGTTTTTAATCAATCAATCAATATGTTTATTTTCAAAGCTACAATAACTTATAGACAAACACTTATAACTATAATTATGCATTACTAACTTAAAAAACTCTACTATTAAAACTCCAGTATTTAACGCATTCGCTTACAACTTTAAAAAAGCAAACTTTGTTACCCTTTATAGAGACTTATTATTGGTCGACTGGACATTTTTACATATCATTTCACACGTTGACAAAGCTCTGAATCTATTTTATGACCAATTATATATTGTTCTTGATCAACATGTACCAAAGAAGAAACCTTGTTATAAACATACCCCATCTAGTTTACTGGTCCTTTAATTCACAAGCTGAATTTAAGAACTAAAGCTTGGAAAAAAGACAAAAAAACGAAAGGTGATGATGATCTTAATGAATACAGACATTTGCGGTCTGTTTTTAAAGCTGATAATATGACTGCCCATCAAAACTATCTGGCCCACGTCGAAGCTGAACTAAAAATAAATCCAAAGAATTTTTGGTCATTCTATAATTCCAAAAAGAAATGTAACTCACTACCAACCAATATGTGTTATAATGGCATTGATTTAGAAACTAGTGCCGCTATTGCATCTGCTTTTGCCGACTATTTTAGTGACTCATTTTTAGAACACCCTGTAAATGTTAATCCCCCCCTTATTTGATATTATTTCTCCTAATCACGCTTTGGTAATGCCCAAGATCTCCGAGGACGACGTAATCGAGTCAATTAAGCGAATCAAGACGTTTCTTGTGCGTAATGGCTTATTTGTTTTTCCTAAGCCGCTTAGTATCATTTTTAATCTGATAATATCCATGTCTGTTTTTCCCGCGAAATGGAAAATTTCAAAAACTGTCCCGGTGTACAAAAAGGGTAACAGAAATGATATTACAAATTATAGACCAATCGTTATTATCTGCAATTATAGTAAAGTAGGTATTCGAAATCACTGTTACCAAATTTTTCTACAGGCATATCAAAAACTCGATTTTACCACGGCTACAACTTCCCCAAAATGCGATTCCATATCTTAAATGGGACTCAACTAGAGCGTATTATACACTTTTAGCTGGCTGAAAACCTAATTATTTTGCTACAGTTTTGACTGAAAAATATTAAGAACAAAGTTTCTTGTTTAGCAGTTTTATATGGTTCTTAAATTTCAAATTATATGCCCATAAATGTTATTGTATAAATTCAATATTATGACTTTCCAAATATTTTGTGTCATTATTGTATAATAATACAGAAATTATTCGTTTTCTATGAATCACCGACTTGAACAATGCATTATTGTTTTAGTTTCCTAAGAGGCAATACCGTCGCAGGAAAATCAAACCGAAATTAGACGTTCGTAGCCCATCGACAAGCGGCACGTCGATAGCAGGTACATCGGCGTCGATTCCCACCACACCAACTAGTAGTAGCATCTCAACACCCAAACCCCGCAAGGGAATGAAGACTGTCAAACAACGATTAGGAAAAATATTGAAAATTCATAAAATGATACATTAATTTATGATTTAAATTAGTTGGTTGATTATTTTCGGAGGTACATTTGTTTTCATCATGTAAAGAGATTAGAATTACTGCAGTGAATTAGAGTATTTTGGAAAAAATATGTTGATTTAACTATGCAGAAACTGTTTATTTAAATTTGAATAGATGATTTCATTGTAAGACATTGCCGTTTCTAGGTGACTTGTGCCTTCTATTAGTTTACATAGCAATAGAGGCAAGATTTTATTTCAAAGGAAACTAAATTATCATTTCGGCAATTAGCAGTGGGATTCTCATCTTTCGATACGTCTCGTATCGAGATGATTATATTTGGTTGGCATACTGCGATTCTTATGTAAAATATTTCTCTATTCGATACATAACGTGTCGAGTTTGCATGTAAGGATCCCATTATCTTCTTTTTTCCTTGTGTTCTTTAGCTGTATGGGCTCAGTTTTTCACTAGCACTATCTGAGATCTACCTAGCTTGTCAAGAAGCGTGTGTTAGGGCTCTTATGGCTGATTTTTGTAAAATAAAAACTTTTTAAAAACGAAACATTGGCACTGAGTAGATAGTAAAAAACCCATACAACATTAGAAGAAGACAAGGAAAAATAAGATATTTATGATGACGCCGTAACCTTAGACATATTGCTGAAACGACAAATTTGCAGTTTCCTTTGAAATAAAATCCTGCTTCTATTACTGGCTATGTAAACTGATACATGGCGAAAGCTCTTGTAATGACCTTGCAGCGCGACAATATGTCTTCCAATGAAAACATCTATTGCAACCAGGTACTGCCGTACTACTAGTCATTCTCTTTAAAATAATAAATAATCCTTTAAAAATTACCGAGTATACACATACAGCAAATATTCAATCATTTCAGACTTCTTCCTCTTAATCAATAGTGTCATTGTTTTTTTAGCTTTGATGCAGGATTTACAGGACAATGTTTTTTGTTAAAAAGAGTCAACAGGTAGTTTAATTTATTTGGGATCATGGTGAAACTCATTTTTGTCGATTTGTCACTAATTACATTGATCCCCGCTTTCCGACTCAAGATTATTTCCAAAATTTTAAAGTACAAATACATTTAAACATAATCTACCGAGTGGTTTTCAAGTAATATAAAAAAAAATGTTATTTTTCATGAAAACTACTTAATTTTGTTCAAAACTACCTACATCGAATTTAACGCTTTAGCTTATGTATTATAGTTCTTACACTAGTTTTCAAACACTATAAATAGAAATAAAATTATTGTATTTCATTACAATTTCAATGTTTCACTCGTTTATTATTTTGTTGATATTTTTTTGTTATTTGTTAAATACTTTAATATTTTATGTACATAATAAGTTTTACTGTTTTATCACCTTTTTGGAATAATTTTTAAATTGGATGGGTTAGATTGAGGTGAAAATCCAAAATCCTAAATACGTTGGTGTTTATTCAGTAATCAATTGTTAATAATTACGTTTGAAAATAAGTGTACCTTTTCTTTATTTATTGTTATGGAAATCTCAGTATTCTTTTTAGTATAGTTGTAAGTTTTGATTGTTTTTATTATTAAATAACATTCCATTTAGTCAGATATTTTATTTCAATCCCAGCTTCTGTTTGAGCTGAAATGTGTACCTTCTAGAGTAGATTTACACATGGGCGCCTCCAATATAGAGGCAGATGGGAGCATTCGCTTGTGCCACAAGTTTCACATATCCTTTGTTATGTTATTGTAACGATAGTCTAATTTATTTATAGTTTATTTATTTAAAACACTATTTACGATTTATTTAAGACGTACTATTTAATTTATATGATACTTAGACACTAACTAACAATTCTAATTTATTTATTACACTTTAACTTTTCATTCCAATACTCTGAACTAAACTAAAACTGTGCGCCAATGAGTCTGCTATTTATACCAAGCCAATTCTGTGCTCGTCGTTTCTGGGCGCTCCCGTAAATTCCATCTCTATGACTCGACGGCAGTTTCTCGAAGCGTCAGCGGCATATTTAGAAGATTTCGTCGTTTCTTGTATATTCGAGACGCGGTCCGACTGTTTTCACACGTCAGCGTTGCTTCGATTATGAATCGAGTGGCAGACTTCCAAGGTCGCGCGTACACAGGGTTGGATTAGGAATTTCATGACATTATGTTATGTTGAGAATGGGGTGTTAATACACTGCGACCTAAAAGATCTCTTGTGCCCCCTTATGTCGCCAATGCACTAAGGAAATGTCTCAATGCCTATAACCACCCTTCCAATCCTATTTTCTCAAGAAAGTGTAGGATTTGAAGTGGCTTCAAGTTAGGTAAATATCCCTCTTCTATTTGATATCCTAGATAAGTGCCCATGGATTCTGGAGTGCTACACATTCAGTTAGGATGTGAATGGAGGTTTCGTCCTCCTCCTCACAGAATCTGCACTCACTATCCTCTACTACTCTCAGTTTACTTAGGTGTCCTTTTAGTCGGCAATGCCCGGTAAGGATCCCTGTTACAATACGTAGCCTGTTCTTGCTCAGGCAGATGCAGGCTTCCGATATTTTCTGGTTATATTCACCCAAAAGTATCTTGGCCTGTCTCAGCCCCAATTATCGGTTCTTCTACTGCCCAATTCTTTTTTAATCACTCTTAATATTAAGTTACTGCTGATACCGCAGAACGGCTCAGGTCCTACAAAGGGTGTTTGAGCCCCTTTCCTTGCAAGACTATCTGCAATCTCGTTACCCTATGTACCCCGTTATGTCCCGGGACCCAAGTGAGAGTAACTCGCCTAGCTCATTCAATTGTTCTAGGCATCTCCAGACCATTTTTGAGCTGATTACGTAAGAGCTCAGCGCTTTGATGGCTGCTTGACTATCGGACATGATGATAATCTCTTATCTATGATAGTTTCTCTCGATGTTAAACTGGATACACTTCTCGATGGCGTGAATTTCCGCCTGGAAGATGCTTGGGTATTTTCCCAAGTTTTCGGAGTGTTTGGTTCTCGGCCCATACACTCCTATTCCAGTTCCTTCTATGGTTTTGGAACCGTCCATATATCACTGAATAGAACGTCTTTCGGTTGCAAGCGCGATGGATTCTTGGCTCCATTCTTTCTTGCAGCCCAGCTCTGTGGTTTTGCACACATCCTATAGAATAGGTTACTTTCTACACTTGTTGCATAATATACTATTTTCAAATAAGTAAACAGATCCAATCAAGTAATATGCCATTTTAATGAAATAAACTATAAAAAATTCTTACGCAAGGAGATATGGTATTTCAAATATGCACGAATTCTGATTTCAATCTGAGAGGACTTGACACACTTGTCTGGTAGGTATCAGATAATAGACTTTGACAACTAAAATAAATAAAAATAGCATTTTTGCACGGACGCGTCGATTTCTTTTATTAACGAAAATTTTTTAGTCTACGCTTTTAATTGATTATAAAAATAGTTCTTAATTTCCATGAACTTAACAAGATTGCTGGACAACTACACTGGAGTCAAAACATTAATCTTTAAAAGATCACTCGAGAAAAAATTGCAGTTCGTTTATATAATATAATTATAAATAATATAAAAAAAATCACAATGCTACCATTGCTACCTATCTAAAGCATTTGTCTGTGTAAGTCCCACATTATTAATCAATAAACTAGATAAATATGGCATTAGAGGAGTTGCAAATAAGTTGATTATTTATTATTTACAAGACAGAGAACAAAGGAAATAAACTTAGTAAATGGTTAATAATGAAAAGAGATGTCCCACAAGGATCTACACTAGGGCTTCTATTATGTTTAATATACACTAAAATTCCCTCATATGAATTCAAATAACATCTAATTACAAACTACCATGTACGTAGATGATACCAATTTTTCCTATCACTGCAACAACACATCTGACATAGTTACCAAAACTGAATGACTGAAGCAACTAATTACATTTAAATCACAACAAACTTAAACATGTCTTTGGGTTAAACCAAACAACTAGTAACACAATGAGAACATTAAATTTTTCGACATATATTTTGACACACAACTTACATGGAACAGCCAAATAAAATAACTAATGAAACAAGTTTCAAAATTCACGTTTGTTCTACGTAGACTATCAAATATAGTCAAAATAGAAGCAGTAATATGGGATTCTAAAACTTGGGGAAATGCTGGTTTTACTTCACTAAAAAGAAATATTGTTACATTAAAAAAATTAGCAGTGCACTCTATTATACAAGTAAACTATGTAATCACTACTTAAACAACTTATAGATCCTGTTTCTTTAAAAAATATTTTGAGAAATTTCACGTCACTCCGACAATTATACATACAATACCAGTGGTTAGTGGGTGGATACATAACATGCTCTTAAAGCGAGCAGTAAACAAAAGTGTGGAAGATGTGAATATAAGAAGGTTGGTTGCGAGGGACTCTCCACAGGGAGGAGTGCTATCACCTCGAGACCCTCATCAACCGCCTCAATCATGACAGTCACTACACAATAGCGGATGCAGACGATCTAGTTATTCTGCAAACAGGGAATTTGGAGAACATAATCTACAAAATTATAAAACACTGGTGCAAGGACCATTCACTGTCTATCAATCTCAAGAAGACAGAAATGGTCCTCTTCACAAGAAATAAGACGAACATGAATTTAAAACTTCCAGAGCTCCTAAACACAAAACTGAACTTTGCAACAGAAGTGAAGTACCTGTATCTACTTTGACAGCAAGTTAACATGAAACTCACACCTAGAAAATAGTAAAAAAAAGCATACATTACTTATGAACAATGCCTTCGATTCGTGGAGCACACCTGGGGTCTCTCCCACAGAGTCATCCCATGAACTTACACTAACTCAACATTACAGGAGCCTTGAACACCACACCGACCAGAGCCATGGAAGTCATTCTTAGTCTCACTTTTCTTGATATTTACATTAAGGAGGTTGTTCTGATAACAATGACACGCCTCCGTACGATTGGAATAGAACCTGATATAGGATCTGGTGAGGAGAGACGTCGTTTTGGCAGGAGGCGCTAGATACGTTCCTACTGTTTCAAGTTATATCTTCCATAAGCCATATAAAGTTAAAGCAGAACAAATAGAAGAGCCAGGTACGATTCATATCTACACCGACGGTTCTAAAACAAAACAAAACAAGGCTCAGGATGTGGAATATACTCCAGACCCTTAAATCTAAACATAAAAGGGGCTGTGAGCAATAGTGTCATTGTAGTTCAAACCCAGCTCACAAGGATTCTCATAGCAGCAAAAGAAATCACCAGAAATAATATCACTGGAAGAACTATGCTCATCTATACAGACAGCCGACAAGCACTACTCACCCTGGACAGATCACGAATCAGGGTTAGTACTAAAATGTCACGAAGCTTTGGCCGAAGTATCCATCAACAATGTGGTCAACTTAAGATAGATCAAAGGTCACGCCACATCGAAAGGTAAATTAAATTCCTTACATGTATGTACTGGCAGAGCAATTGACAGTCAAAATAAAACGGCACTCCATGCAAAAGCTAGCACTGATTCTATTGAAGCTTCTCTAATAACTTGGGTGTCGGATACAGAATGTTAGGATATTCACACATTTCCATGAGAGCATTTTAAATTATGAATTAATCTTTATTTGTCATAAATTATTAAATTGGTAGACAGGTAGGTACCAAGTTCTTATTTTCTATTAAAAGTTTCAATATTTTTAAAAGTAATTTCTCAAAGACTTTTGATATAATGGGCAACGATGAAATGTAAGCATGATAATTTATTTTTAGTAACAAAATAAATAGTCATAATTGATTAAATTCATGATTTTGTGCAGTTTTTCATCTAAAAATAATTGTTTCATGGATAATTATATTAACGTTGGAGACAGCATCATGTCGGAAATAACAAGCAGATACGTCGAAAAATTTTTTCAAGAGAAATCTGAATGGTTACATACCGTAACTATAAATAATATAAAAATCGAAAGCAATCAATTCGATCCATAAACTGTTCTATTTCGCGGTTTTTAACAAAAACATGTTATAAATAATGTTTAATTTTGTGGACAATGTTTTACTTCATTTAGATTTGGTTCCCCCGCAAGCTTTTACTTCTAACGCTGTTACCGATATAAAACTATGATTATCTAAATCGAAGTGCAGTCGGTACTAGTGGCTGGATTTATTTAGAATAGTTGAATTCCTAAACTGGTAGGTGCCAAAATTATAATTATCTTCGATTAGTGCTACTTTTAAGTGACATCGTAACAGGGATTTTGTTTTTTGTGGTATATTGTGAGGTGTTTAAAAGTTTTCTGTATAAAATTTCGCGACAAGGAGTTTTTGACATTGCAAGTGGATGAAACAGAAAAGGGTTCATCTTTTTAGTATAGTAAAACCAGAGATCTAGTGACTCTCATAAATCATATTAGCCGACAACCCTCATCACTATTGTTCGATAAAATTGTCTGTTGGTTAAAAGATTCCTAGGTCCGGATTAAAATATATATTCTCATGAAATAGTAAAGAATATGTTTTTTTAATAATATTATAATTGAGGGCTCTTTATTTCAATTGTTAACAGTTTTGAATGTAAAACTATTATAATAAAAAATTTCCTAGAATTTAAAGTACTTATAAATACAATTTACTTGCCTGACCACCTGACTTTCTGTACTAAACGTCTATTAAGGAGATTAGTGTTAATAGGATATAGAGTTACAAATAAATTACCAGACTTTGAAGACAAGAATACTATTGTTTAAGATATCGAGTCCTATAATTCCAGACAGATTAGAGAAAGTTAAATAAATAATGGGGAGTTAGTATGTAACTGTAACTACCCATTTTTTCTGGAGCTATTAAACATATTGGCATAATTCTTAATTTATATTATAGCATATTATATACATACAAGTTTAAAGTCGATCGGGTATAAAGTCGGAATTTTGAGTTTAGGGAAAGTTGGAATTTTGAGTTAAAAGTTTATTTTTTCGAACTCTATTGTTATTGTGCCCTGTCTCTTTTTCTTTGATCTAATAATAATTTAATTCTTAAACAATACAAGCTTTTGTTACTAAGAAAATTTATATTTTTTTCAGCTCAGGACATGATATGGACGTTGGTTCTAGTTGCTATATTAAGTAAGTACACCCTTATTTATTAAGAAACGATGAGCTTAAAATATACTTTGGATAACTGCCTTATTTGGGCCAAAGCATTATTATGATCAATAAATGAATAAATAGAAAGAGGACGATTTCTATTAAAATAAAATATACAAATGCAAAAGATGTGAGCTATATTATTCTATGAAAGTCAAGCAGAAATAGATTAATTAGATTTGATTATAGTGTTGTTGGCTGAAAAGTATCATGCAAACTTTTGGAGATACATGTTTTCCTCGTGGGGTTTTTCACCATTTCAGGCATCCCTCTGTTCTCCCATGAGGGGTTCCGGCAGGCTGTCCCTAATCTGGCTTGGGTCCAGCCACTGGCTCCCCTCGATTAGACTTGGGTTTCAGCCTACCTTTTCCTCTTCTGGTCTTCGCATGGCGGTACAGCAGCCTCACGCGCTTATTGTACCACCGTTTGGATGCCCTACTCATTCCCATTCATTCAATTTATGCATTCTACCCATATATTCCAACACCGTCTAAATGGGTCCTGAGCTCTGCGAGTTTGGTCACCCATTTAGACCGTGACGGGTCTATTCATGGCTGCGCCTGTTTTGCATACATTTCGCAGTCAGCCAGGGATCCGGCTTCATCGTGGATTTGAGCACGTTGACTAGTTTGGTCTTTTCTACATCCTAAATTTCTATTGTATGTATCTATTTTCTTTTATTTTTTTATGGGTAAGGATTTCCAATCTTGTTAGATCTTCATGATAGTATAATAAGTATTCTGTAGTTTCTTTCTCTTTTTAATATAATTGGCACAAAGTATATCTTAAGAGGCCGATGTTTATTAAGCACCGCTCCAATTTTACCTCTATAAATAAATGCTCGAGGAATTTTGACAATTTTTATAAATTTTTTGGTCTGCTTTTATCCTGGTGAATTTTTCCACCATTTCTGAGATTTGTTGATCATTCACTGCTTTGTGCATAAAAAGTACTTTAAACCAAAAGATGCTAAACAAATCCCATACGGTACAATTTACAATAATTATTTTGTTTGGTCATTGTAGATTTAAAAAAAGTAAATATCTACCATTTTCTTGAGAGCAGAAATCAAGATTGGAATCCAGGGCTGATTAATCTAAAAATATAATTGTTGCATTTCCAAAAAACTTTTTCAGACGTTTTATTTAAGCATTTTAATTACCATATTCAAAATGATAAAAACGCAACTTCATAACAGTGGGTAATCCCCTAGGTATTCTTAGTGGTTATCAACTATAGGAAGTAAATTAACAAAAGTCTTTGAACTGTTAAGAATTGTCCTGATAATTTCGCTAAATCATTTCCTTTCTTAAAAAGAGTAAATTTGTGGTTACACAGTTGTTAAACTGTGAAATAATATCTTTAAATATAAAAAAAATAATTATATATATTTGAACATGTAATAAATACCGTAAATAATGCGTGAACATTATTTTGGTGAAAATAACGAAAATTGCCAAATAAATTTCAATAAACAAATTATACGCATATTTGAGGTCAAAAGTTTTTTTATTATAATGTAACAATTATTAAAAGAAAAGTAGTTTCATCTCTAAATTTACGAAGGTTGATTAGTTAACAAATCTGTGACATAATTTCTAATTTTACACTTCAGTTCAAACATAAAAAGTGTAACAAATTTTATCTCTGAAATAACTTCAGGACAATTATTTTTATATTTATCTTTTTAGCTTTAGATATATACAAAGGGTGACTCCAAAAGGTTAAATATGTAGGTACTCCTGAGATACAAATAAGATTATTTACCCCAACTTACTTATATCCAAAATAGTCGGTATATGGAGGGAAAGTTTAAAAAAATTACGCATGAATACGTGACTTATAGTAACCGAACATGTCATAAGAAAAATTTTAAAAAATAGATCACAGAATACGTTTTTATGCACAAAATTATCAAGGTTCACTTTTAGTGGGTATGAAGATTTCGGAAGCATTGTGTCTAGATAGATTATTAAAAACACCCAAAAAACCATCAAAATCCACAAATATGAGTTTCAAAGTTTATAACGTGTAGGGCAATTACTACCATCCACCCCTTGAAGAGGAAGAACAACAATACTTACTATCTTGTAACATGTATTCAATAGTTACATTTTGTTTCTTTTTAGTAATAAATAATTTTTTTCGCCACTAAGCTATTTTTTTGTTGTGGACCTTGATGTTTTTTAAAAGTTACATTGTTACCTTTTCTTCTTTTAAGTATCAAATAAAATTACAAGAAAGATACTTATATAAATTTTAAAATTCATCTAATAGTACGTTTATTAGTTCTACTATATGAAAAAATAAAAATAGGTTTTTAATTTCAGAATCATCAATTTCTCAGAGGTCTTGAAACCTACTTTTTGTTTTACCGTAAAAATTATTTAAGTGAACCTTGATGGTTTTTAAAGTAGACTAAATGAGTTTGAAACGATTATCTAAATACTTATACATTTTCAGCACCTACTTATTACACTTTAGAATACGATGACATAGACATATTAACGAACTATGATGTTCAATTTGCCGCCATAGCTCAGGATCAAGCGGCCCAGAAGGCGAAACAAGGTTTCAGTGCTGGTAGCAGCTTGCGGAGTATTGCAGAAGGAAGTTCAAATGCTGCTGACGATGCTGTCAATAATCAAGATGCCGCAGGTCACCAAGCAGCCTACGTTGCCAAAAATACTTTAGCGCAATCAGCTGCAGCGGTAAGTCCACTATTTTAACTATCTAAGTAGTAGAATATATTAAACAATATATTTTCTTTAGGCTTCCGCTACAGCCCAAGCTGCATTAGCAGGAAAACAAATTCTTCTTCAAGGACTGGAACAACAATTTAGAGACGCTAAAACAGGTCTTATGGGTGAAAAACAACAACTGATGCAGGTATGATTAAGGGATCTACATCGGTTGCCTTTAATTCTCTAATATCATCATCATTGTCGTCATCCCCCTTGGCTGAGGTTGGCCATAATTTTCTCCTCCGAGTTATCCTGGTCTATGCCATTTTAATCTCAATTGCTACCATTATGTTTTTATATTGAGTTTTTTCTTTTCTTAATATATACATGCATAAATGAAAACAAAAAATGCTCAAAGCTCCATGTGTCACACAATAATACAACCAATTAAGCAAGCCAAAGGAGTAGTTGTTTTCTGAATGGAAAGGAAGACTCGTATTATTGTGTGACACATTGCTTGAAAAATTTCTTATTTTCATTTATTTTACTTCATGGTCTCATTTGAGTTTGCAATTATATTAATTTTTTATGTATGCATTTCTATAATACGTTCATATACATTTTAGCGTATTTTCTGCACGTATTTTTTCTTCACTGTCCAACATAATATAGAGCTGGTACCCACCCTTTACACAGTATATCAATGGATTTTTACACCTTAACTCATACTTTTGTATGTACCTACGGTCGGCGTTATGCTGAATTGTAAAATGCTTCTCCAATAAGACCTCACTAAGGAGCATCTTTTGGTTAATAAATTTTCAAGTTTGTAAACCATACAATGTAGTTTCAGTTGATTTACCTGATTTGTATCAAAGTAAAGTAATTCTATATCCATAACGTCTTCACTGGAATAGAATTGATTGCTATTGTCAGTCCCCTTCTTTTCCACTATGTATTAGGTACATTTACATAAGATCGCACAAGAAATATACTTTTTCAAAATTATTACATGGCCTACATAAAGTTTATAAAGCTTATTTTAATTTAATTTTTCAACAGGCACAAAGAGCAGCTGACCAAACGAACAGAGCAGCTATGGAAGCCAGACAACACGTCCAAGTTCTGCAGAACACTCTCAATGCGGCCCAAGCTGCGGCAGATCACGTTACCCAGGCAGCAAATGAAGCTGCTGGGGAGTTAGCTGCCCAGCAAGCCATGGTTGGGTCAGCAAAGGATCGATTAGAACAGATAGGAAAGCAACTAGCGGCCGTTAGGATCGACTTTCAAGCGACACAAGCTGCAGCACAGAAAGCGCAAGCTTCGGCTCAAGCAGCTGCGGCTAATGCAGCGGCAGCCGCCGCAGCTGCTGCAGCAGGTATGAATAACCAAATACGAACTTTATACATGGCGTTGGTTCGTAATATTGAGAATATTGGGAATTTTTTTAAGAAGAACGTATTACAATTGTTTTCTGGGTAATCAACCACCAGGCCAATTTTATTGAGCAATGTTTATTCATTATAATAAGGAAAGTAAAATTTACTAATAGATAGTTCATTGTAAATTTTAAATATCTAATGTCATGCGCACTCTTCTGCTGAGTTCAATTTAGCTTTCCTTTTGATTTATTTCCTAGCCTCGTTTGACTTAAATCTAGTGGTTTATTGCATTTTACCCAGTCATGAGTCCTGTTAATGTTTTCAACTGATTCTTGTTTATTAAGAGTAGATGTTTTGTTCTTTTTGAACATGGTCTTCCTAAGAAGGTTTTTGTATCTTGCTTCGGGACATTCTCCAAATAATTGTTTTGTTTTCTTCGAACTCATTCTTTTATAAAAGCTCGAACTGTACTTTTTTGGTACCGGTGTTTCTTCTGACTCTCTTTATTGCAAGTTCGTCAGCCATTTCATTGCCCTCGATCCATTGATGACCCGGTACCTAACCAGTTTCCTACTGGAGTAATATCTACTTTGTAATATATTTAATTCAATTTGGTTCTTATCTTATCAACGCCAATTTATTTCATAATAAAATTGACTACTATTATAATAAAAAAATTCGAACAATAATAATTGCTAACCGAAAGATTTGATTACACATTGCCAGAACATTTGGCGGAGGGGGTATATATCTTCCTTGAAATATCCAATAATCAAAATTGTGCTCGCCCTTATCATATTTACTGTTTCTTGTTTAAATCTGACGGTGTTTAATTGGGACAATTTGTTTTAAATACCACATATAAACAATCAAAATGAATCCTAAATGAAAATTATGTTTTATTATTATTGTAGGTCTCGCTAAAAATGCTGGAAAAATCCCACTTCCCCCTCCGCCTCCGCCCGCACCAAAGCCAGATAAAAATGGAGGTGGCGGAAATGGGGGTGGAAAGAAGGGAGGTGGAGGCGGTGGACAAGGAGGAGGATCTGCTGGAGGAAACGGTGGAAAATCTTCAAAATACAGCGCAGAAAGCGGTGAATACGATCAACATTCTTTCTATCACCCTATCTTTTATGCGGAAAGTTAACAAAATTTTCTACAAGACGTTAATTTTTTTACTGTTTATAAAAAATAAATGTATAAAGGAATTTTCTTTTTTTATTAAACCTTCATGGTGCCTCCAATACGTGGAAGAAATGGTAAATACGTCATCAAGGAAATCCAAAATGGATTTAGACCAGACACACACTTACTGATGAGATTTTTATCCTAAAGAGAACAATAGAAACCAATGTTGTACCTCTTACACCCGGTTACAATATCGCTTGTGTATATTTATTTCTTTTCCATCTTTGTGTATGTTTATTACCAAATATTTGAATGGTTCTACTTGTCTTTTACATTTATTTTAATTGTAACATAGAACAATCTTCAGAGAATACATTTTCTGCTACTTGCACCATCTGCATTTTTTGTAGCCTGATTGAAATTTCTTAGTTTTTCTATTGATTTATTTATAACATCGTCGAGTAATAAATTGAATAGTATAGGGCAATGTTATGTTGGGAATGGGGTGTTAATACACGGCGACCTAAAATATCTATTGTGCCCCTTTCGATCGCTAATGCTGTAAGGAAATGTCTCGATGTCTATAACGGCCCTTCTAATCCTATCTTCCCAAAAAAAGTGTAGGATTTGGAGTGGCTTTAAGTGCTATACATTCAGTCAGAATGTAAATGGAGGTTTCGTCCTTCTCCTCTTCCTCACATAATCTGCACTCACTATCTTCTACTACTCTTTACTACTCTTTACTACTTAGTTTACTAAGGTATCCATTGAGTTGGCAATACCCAGTAAGGATCCCTGTTACAATGCGTAGCCTGTTCTTGCTCAGGCCGATACTGGGTTCCGATCTTTTCTGGTTATATTCACCCAGAAGTATCTAAGCCTAGCTTAGCCCCAAGAGATTGCTCAAATTATCGGTCTTCTACTGCCCAATTCTTTTTTAATCTCTCCTAGTATTGTGTTACTCGCAGAACGGCTCAGGTCCCACAAAGGGTGCTTGAGCCTCTTTCCTTGTGAAACTATCTGCAATCTAGTTACCCTTTACCCCGTTATGTCCCAGGACCCAAGTGAAAGTAACTGTATTTTCCTCGCCTAGCTCATTCTGTTTTTCTAGGCACCTCCAGACCATTTTTGAGCTGATTAAGTAAGAGCTCAGCGCTTTGATGGCTGCTTGGGTATCTGCCATGATGTTTATCTCTTGTCTACGATAGTTTCTCTCGATTTTAAACTGGATACACTCCTCAATGGCGTGAATTTCCGCCTGGAAGATGCTTGGGTATTTTTCCAAACTTTCAGAGTGCCTGGTTCTAGACCCATACTGTCCTATTTCAGTTTCTTCTATGAATAGCATGTCTAGTGTAGTGCTAAGTACACCTTGTCGCAATCCATCATTGGTTCTGAGTGCATATTAATAATTCTCACATAGTTTCTGGTATTATTGTCAAATCTTAGATAACCTTTAAATCTATCAAATATACAGATTGTTATGCATGTGACGTTATGTTTTCTGTTTGGTATCGTTGACGTTGATAAGTTATTCGAAACGGCCTTAGGGTTTTGATGTCAATGGTAGTGGGATGTGGAAAATAGAATATGGATGGTCATGAGAAATTTTTAGATTGCCAGTCAAAATTTATAAGATATTAAAAAAATTGTTAAAAAAAGTTTATGAAATTATTTAAAAGGTGAGTAAAGTTAAAAAGTAGAAAATGAAATTGATTAAAAGAAATATTGTTAAAAAGGAGTGAGATGTAGCAGAAAGCAAAGTAGGAGTTAGAGCAGGAGAAGAGGAGATATAAAAAAGCAGGAGTTGCAGCAGAATAGCAGGAGACACAGAAAGGCAGAAATTAGAGCAGAAGGCACGTGTATCAGAATAAAGAAGTGATATTGATTTTTGAAATTCTTGCATGAAGCCATTGGAGCCACAACCCTAAAAGCTCTAGAATCTTGGAATAGTATAATCCTTGCGGAGTGGAACGATTACAATATGTAGTGGCCTTAACTATGTTCTTTTCGATCAGCTGTTCCAATCTTTAGTTTTACTCTGTTTTCAGGAATTCTTTTGCATATCTTTAGCATACTATCTTTAGCATGGTACTCAATAGAGTAATTCCTTTGTAATTTATGCATTTTTGTACCAAGGTAATAATATTCCACTTTACAGTCTTTAGATAATTTTTGTTTATTCCATAACTAGTTTAATAGTTTTTTTAAAATGTCTATCCCATTTTCACTGATGTTTTTTTACCATCTCTGTTATTTATATATTCTTTCCATCGCAACACGGTCTTCTACAAGATCGCATGTTAAATTTCTTGTCAATAGTTAATGATTTTATAATTTTATTAGACTGGCAGCTAGTTACAAAAACGTTTATTAAAACTTAGTAACTTGATAAACTTTGACACATGTTTGGGTTGTGAATAAGTTAAAGTTAATATCCTCCAGACATATCACATTGTCAAGCTTTGTCAAAGTTCATCGGACACATACATTTTAATGAATGTTGTTGCAACTTGCTGTTAGTGTGAATAGAGTAGTAAAATAAATGCTTTTTGTAAGAAAACATAAAAATTTTGGCTTCATCCTAATTGCATGAAAACCAATTTTTGTTTGTTTGATTTTTTGCACATTTTTGAATATTGTTATAGTAACGGCATCATACTTGTCCAAGGCAGGATTAGCAAATATATGGGACACTTTGTCCGATATAATGAAGTCCCTGAATTTTGGCCATTATAGCCCAATATAGATATAACCACACATAAAATTAATAGTTGAAGTTAGCTCTTTCTTTTAATGATACCGTTAGTCGGGTAAGAGTGAGACTGGGTCACGTTTCTTTCAGTCAGGTGCGAGCACTCGGTCTAAGTACTTACGGTTACCGCTTGACCACCTTTGATGGTCACTTCTTGCATTTCGGTCTCGTCAAAATCAAAAATTTCAACGATTAGTTATCAATTCTGCGGTAGTTTCGAATTCAAAAGTGACAATGAGGTGTAGTAAATTATTGTTGTTTATCACGATAATGGGTAAGGGATCAGATTATTCATTATTAATTGTAAATATTTCTTGTACAGTGTTATTTAGCATACTTTTAATTAACATAGTATTGAGGGCAAGTGTTTAACAGATCTTACGGATTGAGGTTATTTATGTGTTTACTTCCGGAAATTTTGGAAAACCGTTGCTTGCATTTTCATTAAGGTTTTGTTATGTTTTATTAATTGTATCCAAGAAGTCTAAGAATTTGTTTATACTTACTCTATAGGGTGATTGCAATAGGTATATCAAAAACTTAAAACTTTATTTTAATGTATTTTTCTGAAGATAATGAGATTTTTAGAAACAACACCAGCATATACAAGTTAGGATTTGTAGGAAATAAATTAAGCTGGGGGAAAATAATTCAGGCTTATATTTTTCAGAAATAAGCAATTTTTTTGAGTAATATCGAATGAGATATATTTCAATTTTAATTTAAATATCACTTATTATGGATGGTGAATGAGAAGCATATGAAAAGAGGTATTTTGTTGACAGCATTTGGAATGTTTGGGAAAATATTTGGACTGAAAGCAGTAGTTTCGCACTTCCTTTAGTTTAATCAATTTGATGTACATTATTTAATAAACAAATCGTAATTAGATATGAAGTTATACAATAAGATATTAAAATACCATTCGATTGTCGTAAAATCAATATAGGATGATTTTTCAATTAAGAAAACAGATTAAGGTGTTATTATATATAGAGTCAGAATTATTATAGATTTTGTTTCATTGATTTAAAAAGTAGGTTGATTATTATCTTTTAATAATTAAAACATGTTTAAATTAGAATTAAATAAAATGGCAGATATATTTAGAAATTGTAATTTTTATCGTGAATTGTGAAATAAAAATTAATCCTATTTATGTTCTTCCAAGTGAAGTTATGCCCTGGATTGGCAGTGTTGCCTTGAGAGGGTATTGGCAGCCGATATTAATTAGGATTGTATCTACCTTTATGTGTTAAAGAGAGAAATAGAATAATATACATAGAAAGACGATCTAAAAAATTATTTTCGAATTTGTTCACTAATTTTTTTTTACTATACTTCTATTAATCAAAACTACACTATATATTTTTAAATTTTTCTTCGTTGCCCAGTCTTTTATATGCAGTAGGAGTCAAAAGTGAGGAATGCATTCGATAAAAGGGAAAATATTAAATTTTTGAACATAATATTCGGATATACATCCTGATGCATGTAAAGGTAGTAACATGGGCATTTTTTAAATAGCAACCCCCTGTTTTATTCCATGTATAGGTTTGTTAACTAAGAAAAATAATTAAAAAAACGGGAAAGTTCATTTTAATTATTTACATGCATCACCCTGTATATTCGAATATTTTAACCTATTATTACACTATTTTTCAACAACCTTATTTGAAAGGGGCCCTAATTTATTAATTATCTTTAGACGTTGTACGTTATGGTATGGCCGTAGTAATTTTTTAAACAACTCAAAAATAAAGTAGTATATGGTCTGCTTATTTTGTAAACCATTTGACATAGTATTTAAATTAGTAAAAACTCATATGTGTCTCAAAATATTAAAAAATCTTTGAAGATCCGCTTATTGGATGGAAATCAGTTGAGTCATGCCTTTCTCTTTGTAGGTATAATAGTACCTTTTTAGAAAGTCATAATAGTATTAAATGGTATTAGTAATTAGGGGTTTTAGACGTTTATAGATTAAATGGTAGGCTTATAATTAAGATTTCCGACAGAGTTTTGTTTTACAGAGTTTTACGGAGTATACAGAGTGATCAACATAAATTGATATAAAAATTTAGTTGATTTGATTTTCCTAATACCCTAACTATTGGAGTGTTCTCCTTTTTAGGGGTTATTTACAGAATTATTTTTATATTTAGAACAATGTATTTTTTAAACTGTAATAAATATTCTGTATAAAGTATATCAGAGTACAGGATACCTATATAAAATGGTACACAATTTAATATTTATCTACTTTATGTTTTGAATTGCTTACCTTTTAGCTTGATTTAAAATTAACTCCAAAGTTTCGGCTTGATGATGATGATACTCATGATGCATTTAATGAAATAAGATATTTAATATGCTAATACAATAAAGCATTTTATCAATAATATGTCGACAGTTAGCAATTATATTAAAGTCAATTAGGTACTTTGTGTTTTTAATAACTATCTGAAAATTCATAGGTTATTAAAATGACAAATAATGTTAATCGTCAGAAGCCAAAATTAATTGACGACATATTTGTATGTATGCTACTACAATACAGGGTGTCTCATGGAAACACCAAGATGATTTTAAAAAACCTACGGTTAATGGGTGTCACGTAATTAATGACAGATATACAGGTTGTTTTATCGTTTTAGATCATTCTTTTTGAAGGTCTTAATTAACGAAGCACTCAGTATATTTTCTTGAAAATTGGTTTTCATATTTTCTTTCACTGTCTAAACGACTGACGCAATAGCTAGAAGAAAAATCCAGGTAGGAGTAACAAAACAATTTTTTGTTTTTAAAACAACACTGTATACATAGGGCAGTGTTGCCAGATGGTTTTTTATTTATTCAGTATTTTCCAATTGAAAAAATCAGTAGAAATAAGTAGAAAATATATTTTTTTAAATAAGTTCAGTCACATGAAATTGGAAAAGTTTTTATTAAAAAATTCAACTTAAAAAAATCTTTCTAAAATAAAATATAACACGGTTTAAAATAAATATACAGGGTGAATCCTAAGTTGATACTTTTTTGACCGTATATTAATAATAATACTCTCCCTTATTGACCCCCTTACGAAGCCTACTGGGCGACTTGTGTAGGGTAAAGGACGTGGTGCTCCGGGGCGACTTAAAGATGATTGATGGTTCCATTTGACTAAGAGGTGAGGAAAACCCGGAAAACACCACCCACCATCATCGAAACGGTAACACATGGCGATTTTTATAATCTGAATGTCATATCAACAAAAATTAAATTTCTGCAAATACGGCATGCATCAAATCCTATAGATAACCATGCAAATAAACTCACATGGTCTTCTGTAGGATTCAAATCCGGGTGTATCTACCACAAAATTGCTCGCAAATGAAAAGCGAGTGCCTCAGACACCTATTTACTGTCCTGTTTATAGAAGTCGTTAAAATAAACATTATTTTCAAATAACTTTTAAAAAAAAAATCAAAAATAAGAAAGATACAGAATTAAAAATATGAATCCGGGACTGGTCTTGTGTACGAAAAGGCAAACGAATTAATGTTTTTGTCTGTTTTTTTTTGGATTTTCTTATGAATATAAATGACGGGTCAAAAATTTAAACATGTTCTGATCAAAACTAAAATTCAAGATTAAAATGTTACCCGTAGAAAATCGGTTGCGGAATTACAAAAAGTAAAGTTTTGGTTTTGTGCTCTTTTAAAATATCAAAACGGCTTTTGAAAATTCTGGTTTAAAGACACAACAATATATGTTTTTTTGTTAATATGGACCTGCATTTTTCTTCTGGCTCTTACGACAGTCATTTGCGTAGTGAACGGAAAACATGTAAATCAATTTTTATAAGAATATACTGGGTGGTTCGTCAGCAATAACCTTCGAAAGAAGCAAAATGTCTCTTATTAATGACTAACCATTTGTACGTTTACCAATGGAACACCCTGTATAAAGAATGAGAGTGAATATTTAAGAAAAAGTTTGTGCCGAATTTTTATTGTCAATTCTCATTCAAATGTCCAAGATTAAAACATTTAGATTGTGCTAAATGTTACTTTTGTTATACGACAAATTTTATGTATTTAACATAATCACTTTTTAAGTTTGTTTAGGAGATTATTTTTGTTTCTGACCTAGAATTTGTAGATGCTATTTACAGCAAGTAAAGTGGGCCTTCAATATTAATATAGAAAAGAGAAAATTGCTTACTTGGAAGATTTAAACAAAGACCAAAAAATAATTCTACATGGAGAAAATATTATAAGGAACCACTATCAAATATTTAGGGAGTACGGTTAATGCAAAGGAAATAATAAAAAAGACATTTAAAGCAGAAAATTGTTTGGATATAATTTCATGCCTGTTGTGGTAGTAGCCAAAAGAGTAGTTGTTTTCGGGAGGAAAACGATCGCTCGACAAGGTCTTTGAGTTTTTATCATTTTCCTTTATTTTCATATTTCAATTGGTCACATTTAAGTATTGGAATTTATTGTCTTCCTCTTCTATTAGATATGGTAGTAATTCCGGTTTACTCAAAAACAAAAATTAGACGAAGAAATGTCAATTGACCTCCTCTGTATTCCTAATAGGAGCTATGATATATATTATGAACATTAAAATTTAATGTTGTGATTTAGACCTTGAATCATAGTCGTTCAAATTTTTCAGCTCTTAAAAATTATTGTCAAATAAATGTTTTAAAAAGGCCCAGCATCTTCTACTCAGTTTACTAATGCCCAGTAAATATCCCTGTTACAATGCGTAGCCTGTTCTTGCTCAGGCTGATACAGGCTTCCGATCTTTTCTGGTTATATTCACCCAGAATCTTAACCTGACAATACCAATTATCGGTTCTTCTACTGCCCAATTCTTTTTTATTCTCTTCTAATATTGTGTTACTGCTAATACCGCAGAACGGCTCAGGTCCCACAAAGGGTGTTTGAGCCTCTTTCTTTGTGAATCTTGTTACACTTTACCCCGTTGTCCCGGGACCCAAGTGAGAGTAACTGTATTTTCCTCGCCTAGCTCATTCAGTTTTTCTAGGCATCTCCAGACCATTGTTGAGTTGATTACGTAAGAGCTCAGTGCTTTGATGGCTGCTTGGCTATCGAGCATGATGATACTCTCGTGCGCGATGGATTTTTTGGATGTTGAACTGGATACACTTCTTAATGGCGTAAGTTTCTTCCTGGAAGATATTTGAGTATTTACCAAAACTGTCAGAGTGCCTGGTTCTAAGCCCATACACTCCTATTCTAGTTCCTTCTATGGTTT